GAAGAAGTCTGTTTAGGAGGACTAGGCGATAATCCTGGCAGATACGGACAGCAGTGAGATCCCACGGTAGTTACTACAGTTTGACCGGTCTCCCTTGTTCTTATACATATTGACGATTGATTTCCTCCTTTTCCCATGTATTCTCCAGGAGAAAGTGGAGACGGTTGGTAAGCAGAGGTCCTCCTGCTTTATACACCTCGGCTGGGATTCCATCAGGCCCTGAGGCTTTGTTATTTTTCATGTTTGATGGCAGTAGCTACCTCATCCAGGGATGGAGAATAGTTGAATTGGGTCAGCTCTTGATGCTGAGGGACCTGCTGGGTAGCCAGGACATCCACATCAGTGTTTCGGTTGAACAATGAATGGTAGTGCTCTTCATCGTATTTAATTATGGAGTTGCTCTCGGATGAGTGGAGGGGGGCTACGCCACGAATGATTGGCCCATGAAATGTTTTAATGGAATTGAAAAATTCAAGCATCCTGTGCTGATCTGCAAATTCTTGTGTTTCACATGTTTTATTTTTAATCCAGTCATTCTTTAGATTGCAAAGTTCCCGCTGGGCCACAGCTTTCTTCTTGCAGAAGGCATCAGCTTTGGTCCAAGACTGAGAGTTGTTTTGCCAGGTATATACTGATAACCACAAGGAAAGAAGAAAACACGAAGTTCCCAAGCGCTTTCGTGTAATTCACATATTCAGGGGTGAGTGAAGATGTAATGAAAAACATACAAATAACAGGTGATGATGAACGCAAAGCATTTGTACGCGGTCACTTCAAAGAAGGGACTTATGCAAGCAAACATTTGGACGCGAGTGGCCTTGCACATCCTGCTTATGCGAAGTTTAGGAAGACTTTAATTGGTCTGCTTGAATTGGGCGGACAGCAGGGTCACCTGAACTGGATGTTTAGGTGGGTTGATCATCTGCCACGGACGATACGCGCAGAAGACACGATGAGAAGTGTTTCCCTTGCTAGCGAGGTCTGTCAAGATATCTTAACCAATTTTGGTGGTTCACCCTGGGTGGACGAACACAATAATATGTCTCTAGACAGTTTTGCACAATTAATGGAGTTCCTTGGTTTCATTCTAACAATCCGTGACCCGGCATATATTCATGCAAAGACACATGATTATAAACCCGATGAGGATATTTTGTATTATGCAGCCAAGATCGCTGTTAAATCATCATGTACTCCCCTTAGCAAGGACAGAAACACCTGTAGCGTCAATTCAGCAACGAGTAAGACCTCAGCAACAAAGAAGCAACATTTAGTATGCACACATTGCAAGAAAAATGGTCATACTGTTGATTTTTGTTACCAACTCCAACGAAGTGGTGCTATGTTTAAAAACAAACCACCACAGCGACTAGGCCCACCTAAGACTTATGCAACAGCTGCTCAAACCAGGTCTGCTTCAGACCAGACAGCTGACGTGTGGTGTTTACACCACGATTCTCCCACCCATAATACGGAGGATTGTTCAGCAGTCCGACGATGTAGACAAATAGGGATGGAGTTACACCAGGTATCCTACCACGGTAAGCCGAGCCGTTGTTTTTACAAGAAGTCGGGGGAAGACCAACGTCAGTCTCAGACCGACATAGGGTAGCTACACCACTACCAACACGCGACAACGCTTCTGTTACAGCCTCGTTAATAGCGGCGCTAACCAAAGCGGAAGTGTTATCAATTCCGGCGAGGGTTGGGTCAGTCAAGTTAGCGTTAGACATTGATACGGGTGCTTGTGCAAACGTACTTTCTTTGGCATCCTATCAAGAGTTACACCGTAGATCCCCTCACCGAGAATTTTTGATTCGACTTACTGACACCGATCTCTCTGGAGTTTCCAGTACTCAGCTGGACATAACAGGAATGGTAACATTACCACTACGTTTTTCTAGATGTGGTATATCCTTTTCTGTAGATTTTTATGTGGTCCAAGACTTTAATTTACCAGCTGACGGTTTAATAGGTCTTCCAACTCTTAAAACTAATTTGATAGATGTTCAGCCAAGCAGACATACTATCACTGTTAATGGTATTTCCTACAGTGCCATGCACACGTCTGTACCATTGCTCTCCGCAAGGGTGAATGTGTTGTCCAACGCTCCTACTACGAGGACGATGGATTATGAGTCAAAGCGAGTTCAAGACCTCACAGACTCACTTCCCCAGCGTGATTATAGCAGCAATAGTTGGACGATCGTACCTGCAGTTTTAACGGGTACTCTCCATTTTCAGAATGAGGAAATCACCAGAGCCACTGTTGTTTTACCTGACGTATACACGGGGATGGATGTAGTCTGTCTTACGGAAACATGCAAGGTTAAAGGCTTATCGTGTGAATCTACATTGAACACGATTCGTCCTGGTGGATTAACAGACGTTCTAGTTCTCAACAGAACAGGCGCGTTATGAATATTGAAAGAAGGATGTTATTTGTGTGATTTTATAGTTTATCATAACCATGTTGCCCAACAGCCTACACAATTCCCAATTGGTAGTATTTCACCTTCAATTAAACAAACTAGACAGGAGAGGATAGATCAAATAACACCACATGTTAAGGTGATTGATAACCCTCAAGGCAAGACTAGGCTCCTAGAGTTGCTTGCCGACTACCGAAACATTGTAGCTTTACCAAAGGAACAGCTAGGTCACACAAATTTAACCTCACATCACATATCCCTAAAACAAGGCACAGACCCAATTTACATACCAGCTTACCGACTAACACATAGCCAGCGCGCTGTAGTCCAGGACATGGTTCAGGATATGTTGGATCAAGAGGTTATCACACATTCAAAATCCCCTTTCAATAGTCCACTATTTTTAGTCCCTAAGAAGGATGGAGGTTGGTGCCCAGTAATTGATTTCAGGCGCGTCAATGAAATTACTATCCCAGATAGGTACCCAATACCTGTCTTGAGTGATATTTTACAATCCTTAGGCAAGGATAATGCTGTATTTAGCAACCTTGATTTGCTTAGCGGTTATTGGCAAATACCTCTGGATGAAAAATCTCGAGAGATTACTGCTTTAGGCCATTAGGCCTTTGGGCCATTATTAATTTCTGAGGATGCCTTTCGGTCTCAGAAATGTACCACTGATCAACACCTTGTTTGCAGGGTTGAAAGGGACCACAGTATGTGCCTACTTAGATGATCTCATCGTAGTCAGTAAGGATGTAGATACGCATATTGCTAAACTCCGTGAAGTTTTCCAAAAACTTTCTACAGGACTCAAAGTCAAACTTTCTAAATGTGAATTTTTAAAATCCAGAATCCAATTCCTTGGTCATGTAGTTGACGGTGACGGCATACATACAGTTGATGACAAAGTTAAGGCTGTTACCCAGTTCCCACGTCCTACAACTCTTGATAAAGTACGTAGTTTTCTTGGTTTATCTGGATATTATCGTTCTTTTATTAAAGGTTATGCGACATTAGCTTCACCCTTGACTAAGCTAATTGGGAAGGATGCAACTTTTGTATGGAATACTGAACAAGAGGTTAGTTTTAGTGCATTGAAGACAGCACTTACCAATGCCCCATTCTTAGCATTTCCTGACTACTCTCAAGAATTTACTCTGTGTACCGAGGCCTCAATACAGAGAATCGGTGCTGCACTTATCCAGCTGGACGCACGAGGAAAATATAGTGATTACTTTTGCAAGTCGTAAACTTAATGATGCCGAAACACGTTATTTAGTAACGCATCTAGAAACGTTAGCTGTTGTTTGGGCACTGAAGAAGTTTAAAGACATAATTTTTGGTTATAAAATAACCATCTATACAGATCACGTGGCAGTAACAGAGCTGTTTCACGGCAAAAATCTTTCAGGTAGACTAGCACGCTGGTATCTGACCATTCAAGAGTTTGAACCCGAGTTCAAGTATTTACCGGGACGAGCGAATGTGGTCGCAGACGCTTTGTCCAGAAATATAGCACCAGTGATGACTCTATCATCGTTCTCCCACTCGATCCATTGTGGTTTACTGTCATTTTCGCTCTATAGTCGGGGGAGGCTAATCTTCCAAAGTTATCCCTTTCGTTCAATCAATTTGAACTACGACGAGACATACTCCTTCGCTCCAAGCAGACAACTGAGGGTATTGTTGCACAAATTGTCGTACCTGATACACTTCGTGAAATGATACTAATGTTGTATCACGATGCTCCCCAAACAGGTCACCCCGGACGTGACAAATGTCTGGCGGAGGTCAGAAAGAAGTATTTTTGAAATACTATGAAGAAAGACATAGAATTGCATATTGCTAAGTATTTGTCATGTGCTCAACATAAGGGTACTACAAGGGCGCCGGCTCCAATTCTACAATATTCTACACCAGAACGTCCGTTTGACAGTCGCGATCGACTTGTTACAACTTCCGAGGAGTCATCAAGGATCCTAGAACGTTCTAGTGTGTGTGGATCATTTTTCTAGATTTGTGATTTTAGTCCCACTGAAGGATAAAACAGCCGAATCTGTGGCTTATCCTTTAGTTACTCACCTTATATGTCCTTTTACTGCGCCCAAGGTTCTTCTCTCCGACAACGGATAAGAGTTCAAGAACCAACTTGTAGCGCAAATATGTCGACAATACGACATCCAACAAAGTTTTATCGCAGCCTATCATCCACAGGCTAATGGCCTTGTTGAAAGAACCAATCGCAAAATCCTAGATATTCATCGTCCAATAGCTACTCAAATGCACTATGCATGGGAAGATTGGTTACCGCAATACCGCAAGTCGTCGCATATATTAATGAGTCGATCAACAGCTCTACAGACAGATCACCCTATTATATTCCAGATGATACTAAATGTTACATAATAGTTCCTTGAGATAAATGTATAGTATATATCAGGTGCCTCAAAGAGAGCTCAGGCTCTCAACTGGCTCAGCCATGTTAATATTGTTATTATTATCCACTCAGTATCTGTGTTTTTCTGGCAAAATAAACTGTTTCAATTCAATTCAATTCAACCACAGGAGCGTGTCTGCCCGGGTGGGAGCAGTTCCAAGACTCTTGTTACTACTTCAACACGGAGGCGACGGACAAGGTTGTTTGGGAGGACGCTAAGAGCATCTGTGAGGCTGTCGGCGCTTCCATGGTTGTCCTTGACACCGATGAAGAGAATAAATTCATTTTCAATCACATAATGGACATCGACAATCTGTGGATTGGTCTATATAGTAAGTATAAAATAGCTATTTGTGTGAGGTAGTGTAGAGATGTGATAGGAAGTTGTGAGGTAGTGTAGAGATGTGATAACTAGTTGTGTGAGGTAGTGACGAGATGTGTTACGAAGTTGTGAGGTAGTGTAGAGATGTGATAAGTAGTTGTGTGAGGTAGTGACGAGATGTGTTACGAAAATGTGAGGTAGTATAGAGATGTGATAGGAATTTGTGAGGCAGTACAGAGATGTGATAGGTAGTTTTGAGGTAGTGTAGAGATGTGATAGGAAGTTGTGAAGCAGTGTAGAGATGTGATAGGAAGTTGTGAGGTAGTGCAGAGATGTGATAGGTAGTTGTGTGAGTTAGTACAGAGATGTGATAGGAAGTTGTGAAGTAGTGCAGAGATGTGATAGGTAGTTGTGTGAGGTAGTGCAAAGATGTGATAAGAAGTTGTGAGGTAGTGTAGAGATGTGATAGGTAGTTGTTTGAGGTAGTGTAGAGATGTGTTAGGTAGTTGTGTGAGGTAGTGTAAGAATGTGTTAGGTAGTTGTGTGAGGTAGTGTAGAGATGTGTTAGGAAGTTGTGTGGAGTAGTGTAAAGATGTGTTAGGTGGTTGTGTGAGGTAGTGTAGAGATGTGATAGGTAGTTGTGTGAGGTAGTGTAGAGTTGTGTTAGATAGTTGTGTGAGGTAGTGTAGAGATGTGATAGGAAGTTGTGTGAGGTAGTGTAGAGATGTGATAGAGTGGTTGTGTGAGGGGTGGTGTATGAGAGATGTGTTGGGTAGTTGTGTGGGGTAGTGTCAATTGTGTTGGAGTGGTGGGGTAGAGGTAGTGTGGGGATGTGTTGGGTGGTTGTGAGAAATGGTGTAGAGATGTGTACGAGAGTTGTGTGGGGTAGTGTAGAGATGTGTGTAGGTGGTTGTGGTGGTGTAGAGATGCGTTAGGAACTTGTGCGGGTAGTGCAGAGATGTGTTAGGTGGTTCTGTGGGGAGTGTGTAGAGATGTTGGGGAGTTGGTGTGGAGTGGTGTGGAGATGTGGATGTTTTGTGGTGAGTGTGGGGATGTGTGACGAGTTGTGTGGGGTGGTGTGAGATATGGTGCATGGTTGTGTGAGGTAGTGTAGAGATGTGGTGGAGAGTTGTGTGAGTGTGTGGGAGATGTCATAGGTAGTTGTGGGGAGTAGTCTAGAGATGTGTTGGAATGGTTGTGTGAGGTAATGAGAGAGATATGTTTGGTAGTTGTGTGAGGTAGTGTAGGGATGTGGTAGGTAGTTGTGAGAAGTAGTGTGAGATGTGTTGTGTAGTTGTGATGGTAGTGTAGGATGTGATGGGGTTTGGTGCAGGGTGGTGTGGGATGTGCAGAGTTTGTGGGGTAGTGTGAGATGTGTTTGGTAGTTGTGTGAGGTGGTGTGGGATGTGGTGGGTGGTTGTGGGGTGGTGTAGAGATGTGTTGGGTGGTTGTGTGGTGGTGTGAGATGTGTTTGGTGGTTGTGTGGGTGGTGTAGAGATGTGTGGGTGGTTGTGAAGTGGTGTAGAGATGTGTTGGTTTGAGGAAATGTGTGGGGTGTGTTGACAGAAGTTGTGTGAGGTGAGTGTGAGATGTGTGATAGGATTGTGTGAGGTGGTGTAGAGATGTGTTGGGAAGATGCTGAGGTGGTGTAGAGATGTGTGTTGGGTAGTTCTGTGGGGTAGTGTAGAATGTGTTGAGTTTGTGTGGTGGTGTGTGGAGATGTGTTTAGGGAGTTGTGTGAGGTGGTGCAGAGAAGTGTTGGAGTTGTAGTGAAGATGTGAGATGTGTAACAGGAGTTGTGTGAGATGGTGTGGAGAATGTGGAAGGTGGTTGTGTGAGGGTGAGTGCAGGATGGGTTAGGTGGTTGTGTGGGGTGGTGTAGAGATGTGTTGGAGTAGTTGTGGGGGGTGTGTGGGATATGGTGGGTGGTTGTGGGGGTGGTGTAGAGATGTGTTGGGTAGTTGTGTGGGAGTGAGTGTGGGGATGTGTTGGGTGGTTGTGAAATATGTGGAGAGATGTGTGACGAAGTTGTGTGAGGTGGTGTGGAGAGTGTGTGTAGGTGGTGTGGGGTGGTGTGGGGGTGTCTTGGTGGTTGTGATGTGTAGATGTGTGATGAAGTTGTGTGAGATGTTTAGGAGTTGTGCAGAGTGGTGTAGAGATGTCTTTGGAGTTTGTGTGAGGTGGTGTGAGATGTTTGGTAGTTCTGTGAGGTAGTGTAGAGATGTGTTGGGAGTTGTGTGAGGTGGTGTAGGGATGTGTTGGGAAGTTGAGTGTGGTGTGGGGATGTGTGACGAAGTGGTGTGAGGTGGTGTGGAGATGTGCAGTTGTGTGGGAGTGGTGTAGAGATGTGGTGGGTAGTGGTGTGACTGGTGTGGGGATGTGTTGGTGGGGTGTGGGGTAGATGTGAGAGATGTATTATGTAGTTTTGTCAGGTGAAGTGTAGAGATATGTTAGGTAGTTGTGTAGGTAGTGTAGAGATGTGTTGGGTGGTTGTGTGTGAGGTAGTGTAGAGATGTGTGTGGTTGTGTGAGGTGGTGTGAGATGTGTTGGGTGGTTTGTGAAGTGGTGTAGAGATGTGTGGGTAGTTGTGGGTGTGGTGTGTAGATGTGTGCATGAGATGTGGAACGTAGGTGTAGGATGTGTTGTGGTAGATGTGAGAGGTGGTGTGAGAGATGTGTTGGGTGTTTGTGGTGGTGTGGAGAGATGTTTTAGTGTGGTTGTGGGTGGTGTAGGAATGTGTTGGGAAGTGTGAGGTGGTGTGTGTGTGCAGTTGTGGTGAGGTAGTATGGAGATGTGTGCAGAGTTGTGTGAGGTAGTGTTGAGATGTCATAGGGAGTTCTGTGGAGGGTTAGTGAGAGATGTGTTTGGTGGTTCTGAGGTGGTGTGAGATGTGTTAGGGTTGTGTGAGGTGGTCTAGAGATGTGTTGGAGTTGTGTGATGTAGTGTAGAGATGTGTGGGCAGAGTAGTGTGAGGTGGTGTAGAGATGTGGTGTGTAGTTGTGGGGTGGTGTGTAGAGATGTGGCAGGTGGTTGTGTGAACGTGGTGTGGGGAGATGTGTTGGGTGGTGTGAGGGTGAGGTGTGGGGATGTGTTATGTGGGGTTTTGTCGGAGTGGTGTAGAGATGTGTGAGTGGTGTGTGGAGTGGTGTAGGGAATGTGTGGGTGGTTGTGTGAGGGTAGTGTAGAGATGTGTTGGGTGGTTGTGTGAGAGTGGGTGTAGAGATGTGTTTAGGTGGATTTGTGAGAAGTAGTGTACAGATGTGTTGGGTGTTTATGTGAGAGTAGTGTGGGGAGTGTGGTTGTGAGGTAGTGTAGAGATGTGTTGGAAGGTTTGTGGAGTAGTGTGGAGATGTGTTAAAGAGTTGTGTGAGGTAGTGTTATGAGAGATGTGTTGCAGTTGTGAGTGGTGTTGAGATGTCATGGGGAGTTGTGGGAGTTAATGTAGAGAATGTTAGATGGTTGTGTGAGGTAGTGTAGAGATGTGTGAAGTGGTTGTGGGAGGTAGTGTAGAGAGTGTGTTAAGTAGTTGTGTGAGGTAGTGTAGAGATGTGTTTTGGTAGTTTTGTGAGGTAGTGTAGATTTGTGTTGGGTGATTGTAGAAGTGGTGTAGGGATGTGTTATGTGATTTGTGAAAAGTAATGTAGAGATGTTGACAGAAGTTGTGAGTGGTGTAGAGATGTCTTGGTGGTTGTGTGAGTGTGGCGTAGAGATGTGTGTTGGGAGTTGTCAGTGGTATGAGATGTGTTAGGTGGTTCTGTGAGGTAGTGTAGAGATATATGAGGAAGTTGTGTGAGGTAGTGTGGAGATGTGTTTGGAAGATGTGCGAGGTAGTATGAGATGTGTTTGGTGGTTGTGAGAAGTAGTGTAGGGATGTGTTATGGTTGTGAAAGTAGTGTAGAGATGTGTGTTAGGTAGTTGTGTGAGGTAGTGTAGAGGTGTGTGGAGGTGATGTGTGAGGTGGTGTAGAGATGTGTGTTTGGAGAGTTGTTAAGTGGTGAGTATGAGGATGTGTGGAGTTGGTGGGGCGGTGTAGAGATGTGTTTGGTGTTGGTGTGTTGACAATATGTTAGATGGTTGTGTGACGTAGTGTAGAGATGTGATGTGGTTGGCAGGGAGTGGTGTAGAGATGTAGTGGTGGTTGTGTGAGGTAGTGTAGAGATGTGTTTGGTAGTTGTGTGAGGTGGTGTAGAGATGTGTGTTGGGTGAGTTGTGAGAGTATGTGTAGAGATGTGTTAAGTGGTTGTGAGAGTAATGTAGAGATATGTTTCAGGGATTGTGTGGGAAGAGATGTAGAGATATGTTGGAGTTGTGCAGGTGAGTGTAGAGATGTGTTGGGTGGTTCTGTGGTAGTGTAGAGTGTGTGACGAAGTTGTGTGGGGAGTGGGTAGAGATGTGTTGGGTGGTTGTGTGTGGAGGTGGTGCAGAGGTGTGTTGGAGTAGTTGTGTGAGGTGTGTGAGATGTGTTAGATGGTTGTGAGAAGTGTGTGGAGATGTGTGCATGGTTGTGTGAGGTAGTGTAGAGATGTGTTAGGTGGTTTGTGTGTGTGTGGAGATGTGTGGGAAGTTGTGTGTGAGAGTGGTGTAGAGATGTGTTTGGAGTTGTGTGAGGTAGTGCAGAGATGTGTTGGGTGGTTGTGAGAAGTAGTGTAGGGGATGTGTTGTAAGTTGTAGAAGTAGTGTAGAGATGTGTTGGGTGGTTGTGTGAGGTAGTGGAGAGATGTGTAGGTGGTTGTGTGAGGTAGTGTAGAGATATGTGGAGTAGTTGTGTGAGGTAGTGTAGAGATGTGATTGGTAGTTTTGTGTGTGTGTGGGAGGTGTGGTGGGTAGTTTGTGGTGTGGTGTAGAGATGTGTTTTGGGTTGTGCAGAGAGGTATAGAGGATGTGTTGGGTGGTTGTGAGAGTGGTGTAGAGATGTGTTAGGTGGTTGTGAGAGTAGTGTAGAGATGTGTTAGGGAAGTTGTGTGAGGTAGTGTAGAGGATGTGTTTGGTAGTTGTGTGGGGTGTGTAGAGATGTGTTAGGTGGTTGAGATGTAATGGTGGCATGTGTTAGATGGTTGTGAGGTAGTGTAGAGATGTGTATAGGTAGTTGTGGGGAGTGGTGTAGAGATGTGTTATGTTGTTGTGTGAGGTGGTGAGAGATGTGTTTGTTGGTTGTGTGAGGTATGTAGAGAGTTGTGTTGGGTGGTTTGTGAGGTAGTGTAGAGATGGTGGTTGTGATGTGGTGTAGAGGATGTGATGGGAGTTTGTGCAGGAGGTAGTGTAGAGATGTGTTAGGTAGTTGTGTGGAGGTGGTGTGGGGAGTGTGGTGAGTGGTTATGTGAGGTAGTGTAGAGATGTGTTGGAGTGGTTGTGTGGGGTAGTGTAGAGATGGTGGAGTGGTTGGTGTGAGGGTAGTGTAGAGATGTGTTTGGAGTTGTGCGAGGTAGTGTAGAGATGTGTTAGGAAGTTGTGTGGGGTAGTGTAGAGATGTGTTAGGTAGTTGTGTGGGGAGTGGTGTGAGATGTGTTTGAATCGTTTGTGAGGTAGTGTAGAGATGTGTTAGATAAGTTGTGTGACATAGTGTAGAGATGTGATGGAAGTGGTTGCTGGGAGTGGTATAGAGAGTGTGTTGGGTAGTTGTGTGAAGTGGTGTGAGAGATGTGTTAGGTGGTTGTGTGAGGTGGTTTAAGAATGTGGATGGTTGTGAGGGAAGTGGTGTGGAGATGTGAAGTGGTTTGTGAGAGTAATGTCAGATGTTTTAGAGTTGTGTGAGGGTGGTCATGGGAGATGTGAGGTGCGTTGTGTGAGGTAGTGTAGAGATGTGTTAGGAAGGTGTGTGAGGTAGTGTAGTGATGTGTTAAGCAGTTGTGTGAGGTAGTATAGAGATGTGTTACGAAGTTGTGTGAGGTAGTGTAGAGATGTGTTAGGTAGTTGTTTGAGGTAGTGTAGAGATGTGTTAGGTAGTCGTGTGAGGTAATGTAGAGATGTGTTAGATAGTTGTGTGAGGTAGTATAGAGATGTGTTAGGTAGTTGTGGGAGGTAGTGTAGAGATGTGTTAGGTAGTTGTGTGAGGTAGTGTAGAGATGTGTTTGGTAGTTGTGTGAGGTAGTGTAGATTTGTGTTAGGTGATTGTGAGAAGTAGTTTTGAGATGTGTTAAGTGGTTGTGAAAAGTAATGTAGAGATGTGTGACGAAGTTGTGTGAGGTAGTGTAGAGATGTGTTAGGTAGTTGTGTGATGTAGCGTAGAGATGTGTTCGGAAGTTGTGCGAGGTAGTGTAGAGATGTGTTAGGTAGTTGTGTGAGGTAGTGTAGAGATGTATGAGGAAGTTGTGTGAGGTAGTGTAGAGATGTGTTAGGAAGTTGTGTGATGTAGTGTAGAGATGTGTGACGAAGTTGTGTGCGGTAGTGTAGAGATATGTTATGTAGTTGTTTGAGGTAGTGTAGAGATGTGTTAGGTAGTCGTGTGAGGTAATGTAGAGATGTGTTAGATAGTTGTGTGAGGTAGTATAGAGATGTGTTACGAAGTTGTGTGAGATAGTGTAGAGATGTGTTTGGTAGTTGTGAGAAGTAATGTAGAGATGTGTTAGATAGTTGTGTGAGGTAGTGTAGAGATGTGATAGGTAGTTGTGTGAGGTAGTGTAGAGATGTGTTAGGTGGTTTTGTGTGTGTGTAGGGAGATGTGTTAGGTAGTTGTGTGAGGTAGTGTAGAGATGTGTTTGGAAGTTGTGCGAGGTAGTATAGAGATGTGTTTGGTGGTTGTGAGAAGTAGTGTAGGGATGTGTTATGTGGTTGTGAGAAGTAGTGTAGTGATGTGTTAGGTAGTTGTGTGAGGTAGTGTAGAGGTGTGGTAGGTAGTTATGTGAGGTAGTGTAGGGATGTGTTAGGTAGTTGTGTGAGGTAGTGTAGAGATATGGTAGGTAGTTGTGTGAGGTAGTGTAGAGATGTGTTTGGTAGTTGTGTGAGGTAGTGTAGAGATGTGTTTAGTCGTTGTGAGAAGTAATGTTGACATATGTTAGATAGTTGTGTGACGTAGTGTAGAGATGTGATAGGTAGTTGTGTGAGGTAGTGTAGAGATGTGTTTGGTAGTTGTGTGAGGTAGTGTAGAGATGTGTTAGGTAATTGTGAGAAGTAGTGTAGAGATGTGTTAAGTGGTTGTGAGAAGTAATGTCGAGATATGTTTCGAAGTTGTGTGAGGTAGTGTAGAGATGTGTGAGTACGTTGTGTGAGGTAGTGTAGAGATGTGTTAGGAAGTTGTGTAATGTAGTGTAGAGATGTGTGACGAAGTTGTGTGAGGTAGGGGAGAGATGTGTTAGGTAGTTGTGTGAGGTAGTGTAGAGATATGTTAGGTAGTTGTGTGAGGTAATGTAGAGATGTGTTAGATAGTTGTGAGAAGTAATGTAGAGATGTGTTAGATAGTTGTGTGAGGTAGTGTAGAGATGTGTTAGGTGGTTTTGTGTGTGTGTAGAGAGATGTGTTAGGTAGTTGTGTGAGGTAGTATAGAGATGTGTTTGGAAGTTGTGCGAGGTAGTATAGAGATGTGTTAGGTGGTTGTAAGAAGTAGTGTAGGGATGTGTTATGTGGTTGTGAGAAGTAGTGTAGAGATGTGTGAGGACGTTGTGTGAGGTAGTGTAGAGATGTGATAGGTAGTTGTGGGAGGTAGTTTAGAGATGTGTTAGGTAGTTGTGTGAGGTAGTGTAGAGATGTGTTTGGTAGTTGTGTGAGGTAGTGTAAAGATGTACAGTAGGTTGTACAGTGTAGAGATGTAAGCAGGGTAGTTGTGATGTAGTGTAGAGATGTGATAGGAAGCAAAGGAGGTAGTGTAGAGGACGTGTTAGGTAGTTGTGTGTGGAGGTAGTGTAGAGATGTGATAGGAAGTTGGGGAGTGTAGAGATGTGTTAGGTAGTTGTTTGAGGCAGGTAGAGATGTGTTTGGTAGTTGTGTGAGGTAGTGTGGAGATGTGTTAGGTGGTTGTGAGAATTAGTGTAGAGATGTGTTGTGTAGTTGTGATGTAGTGTAGAGATGTGTTTGGTAGTTGTGTGAGGTATTGTAGAGATGTTTTAGGTAGTGTAGAGATGTGTTTGGTAGTTGTGTGAGATACTGTAGAGATGTGTGTGGTAGTTGTTTGAGGTAGTGTAGAGATGTGTTAGGTAGTTGTGTGAGGTAGTGTAGAGATATGTTAGGTAGTTGTGTGAGGTAGTGTAGAGATGTGTTAGGTAGTTGTGTGAGGTGGTGTAGAGATGTTTTAGGAAGTTGTGTGAGGTAGTGTAGAGATGTGTTAGGAAGTTTTGTGAGGTAGTGTAGAGATGTGTTAGGTGGTTGTGTGAGTGAGTATAGAGATGTTTTAATTAGAGAGGTGTTCGATAGATGTGCAGTGTTGTAGGGAGAGCTGTTAAGTAGCTTTATTAAACTGTAGAGAAAAGTGTTCGGTAGTTAAGTAAAAGCGTAAGTAGTTACATGTGATACTCGAGAAAGACATTGTTTGAGGCAGCAGCGAATGATTTATGTATTGTCTTGTGGCATTAGGGAAAAGTGGGAGACACTTGAAAATTGTGTAAATAGTGATACAGAGTCCTTCCTGGTAAGATGGTCCCAGACTTGAGAATGTTGATTTAAACGAAAATAATCTCTTACGTGTGAACTAATAATCTAAGAGCATAATTTATACTGAACGAGCTACAATATATTTAGTCTTGAGATTCATTTACAGTTACTGTATCAAGATTAAAGTAAATGCTATTACAGCTTTTTGTAATCAAAATAACATACTGTGTTTAATATGGTATAGAATAGACGCGAAAATTAAATATTGAAAGGATATCTAATTAAAAAGGAATTACTTTTCCGGAATGTTGTTTTGGATATTCATCCTTTCCTTCATTAAAATAAGATTAGATTCAATAAATTTATATATTTATACAAAAATAATTTGTGTTCATAAAATTGAGTTTGCCGTATTTATCTCAGATTAAGGTCTACTTTTTAACATCCACCTTCCTGACTGAGATTTACACTTGCTGCACCATAGTACTGTTTGATCATGCGGGGTGTCGGGCACGGCTTTTTCCCTACTGCTAAGACATTTCATGCCAAGTCAAAAATTGTCAGTGAAAACCGTCAGCAGCGGAAACTGCATCTAAAAAAATAGTTATTTCGTCAGATGGTAAGGAAGAATGGATTGTTTTCCTGGAGCCTGGTGCTAGAGACCCACGTTCATCCCGTCTGGGGTGATATACAGTAACTTGATCGGTTTATGCGCGTTAGTAAGCAAATTTTACTTTTCACCGTAATAACTGTTCCTCTAATGAAGTTAAAGTTGCCAAGGAGGTCTTTTGCGTTATAAGTGTTTAAACACTGTTATTTTTATGTTGTCGTCTGTCTTTATTCCTGTTTAGTGTCCACAGGCATGTAGTCGTCACGCTTTGATCTCTACTTTGAATTTACAGCCAAAATTATATTAGTATTTCCTCACATCTAATTATATCTTCAGCTCTTACAAAACCATCCATGCACAACAACCACTATTTTTTATTTCCTATCTTAATTTGTTATATTACTGAATTAAATTTTATTATTTTCCTTTATACTAAGGTTCTTAATTAAATTTGTCAGTGTAAATTTGGTAATTTGTAAAAGTTGCCAAAAACATTAAATATAATAAAAGAGTTTGCAACAGCATCAAGTGTTATCCTGTTGCTTTGTCAAAATATTTACTGAAGTGCCTCCACCAAATCATTATAAGGGTGCAGATCAATAAATAAATGTCCACAAAGAATAAAATTATGGTTTCTTGTCATTTCCTCTAAGACGTCCTGACTTACTTAAATGGCTTACATCACCCTAAAGCTATTTTCAAAGAGTGATTATCGAAGTTCAGAATGACGACAAGTTACGGTAGTCTTAGTAGCACTCCTAAAACTTATTGATTCAGTATTGCATCATTTAACAGGTGTCCCCAACGACACCGTATACTGGACGGATGGCTCCACCATGGACAGCAAGAACTATACCTACATGAAGAATAGTGACAGAGATAATGCTCTCAAGGCCAAGGACCAGCAATGTGTCTTCTTTCAAAAACTTGGTAAGCCACTGATATATATATATATATATATATATATATATATATATATATATATAACCACATAAAAGAAAATAAAGGTGTCGAAGAAGAAGTACAAAACAGTATATATATACAGAGGAGGTGAGATCAAGTCCACAGTGGTCAGGTATAGGTAATGACCCTACTTATTCTCACCTCCTCTGTATATATATATATACCCCTCTTTGTACTTCTTCTTAGTCTGTACCACCCCTGAAGATGAATTACACGAAAGCGCTTAGGAATCCTGTGTTTTTCCTTGTATATATATATATATATATATATATATATATATATATATATATACTTCATTTTTAGTCCATATAACACGCGGACTTTGAACATATAATCAACGACCTCACCAGCAAGGAATCGAACCCTCGACCTACTGGGTGTGACTAGGGAACGCTTACCGGCTAGGCCACAAGGACACTAAAAGCAGTTCTAGACTCTGTTATATTTCACACAAAGCCTGTTCATCGAGCTGATGGCGCCGTGAACCTCATTGGGAAACTGCCCGTGCCTCTTATGTGGTGTCAGTAGCATTTTACCGAATCCAGCTGGTATGAAATATATATATAATATATATATATATATATATATATATATATATATATATATATATATATATATATATATATATATATATATATATATATATATATATCAGAAACTCGGAAACTACTTTACCGATCTGTAGTGATGATGGATTGTGTTATATGTAGTGATGATGGATGGTGTTATATGTAATGATGATGGATGATGTTATATGTAGTGATGATGGATATTGTTATATGTAGTGATGATGGATGGTGTTATATGTAGTGATGATGGATGGTGTTATATGTAGTGATGATGGATGATGTTATACGTAGTGATGATGGATGCTGTTATATGTAGTGAGGATGGGTGGTGTTATATGTAGTGATGATTAGACAATAAAGTAATAATAGTTTAATGCTAAAAAAATATACTTTGCTGTACCGTTGTAGTGAAAAACATGGTGGAACTTACATACACCGTTAATGAACTATTGATGGAAGAAGAAGTTTTGGAGACTGAACAGTTAGACAACGTGGAGCATCCCGGAGGGTGGCGTCCTACCGTGTCATAGCGAATGAGCCGCCTGGACAACAAATGGGTGGTCCCCTACAATCCTCCTTTGAGTAAAGCATTCAATGCGCACAACAATGTGGAGTTCTGCAATTCGGTCAAGTCCATCAAGTATATCTGCAAATACGTCAACAAAGGCTCTGACCAAGCGATCTTTGCATTGGAAAAGGATGGAAATCATGATAAGGTGACAGTTTCAGCAAGGCCGTTATATATGCAGCAATGAAGCCCTATGGAGAATTTTTAATTTCCCCATGCACGAACGATGTCCAACAGTAGTTCAGCTGGCTGTTCACCTGGAAAATGGACAAGAGTATACTTCACATAAGAGTCCCTCCAAAATCAAATGGCAAATCCTGCTGCTACGACCCTCACTGCATTCTTCAAGCTTTCACAAGAAGATGAGTTTGCTCAAATACTCTTGTATGTTGACGTACCCAAGTTCTACATATGACAGGCTTCAGTGAAAAAGTTCCAGAGAAGAGCTCAAGGATCCGATGTTGAAGGATATCCAGGAATAAAGTCAGGCAATGGTTTGGGACGTGTCTACACGATTCACCCCAAAAATTTTGAATGTTATCGTTTGAGACTACTTTTGCACCACATCCGTGGCCCAACATCATATGCAGCACTAAAGACAGTGAATGGACAAGTCTGCAGAACCTATCAGAAAGCGTGCAATCTCCTTGGCCTACTGGAAGATGATGGTCACTGGAATGACACATTAGAAGAGGCAGCAGCTACTCAATCGCCAATGAGAATGAGGAACCTGTTTGCCATCATGATTGCTACATGTGGACTTTCCAACCCAAGCCAGCTCTGGAAAAACCACCAAGAAAGTCTTTCAGAGGATCTGCTTCATCAAGCAAGAAGAGAACATCCTGGCCAAGAGATTGAGTTCATGGATGACATGTTCAACACGGCTCTAATCATGCTGGAAGACAAAGTGTTGGAGCTATGCGGAAAAAACCTGACTGATTTTGAATTGCCTTCCCCAAACCGAGAAGAACCAGAAGTTGCAAACAGGGAGTTGCTCAGAGAGACATATTACTCAGTTGGAGTTCTGGTGAATTTTCTTAAAGAAAATGAGCCACACCTGGTGCCTCATCAAGCAAATGCTTATGAACAGATCTTGCAAGCGATACAAGCGGAGCAGGGAGGTATGATCGTTCTCAATGCACCTGGTGGGTCAGGAAAAACATTCCTGATCACCCTTCTGTTGGCCAAAGTACGGCATCAGGGGAAAATTGCTCTTGCTGTGGCACCCTCAGGCATTGCTGCAACACCAGTAGAAGGAGGACGTACTGCACACTCAACTTTTAAACTGCCTCTCAACCTCGCTCACAGTTTGAATCCAGTGTGCAACATCAAAAAAGGATCGGCAAAGGCAAAACTCTGCAGTCTCATAGTCTAGGATGAATGCACTATGTCTCACAAGTTAGCGTTTGAAGCATTGTACTGGACCTTGCAAGACATACGAGAAAATGACCAGCTCATGGGTGGCATTACAATGGTCATTGATGGAGACTTTAGCCAGACCCTACCTGTCATTCCTCGAAGCACTCCAGCTGATGAACTGAATGCGTGCCTCAAGGCATCATACTTTTGGAGAAGTGTTCAGACACTCACCCTATCCACAAACATGATAGTACATCTACAAGGAGATCAGGATGCTGGACGGTTTGCAAACCTTCTACTACAGATTGGGAATGGAACGTTCCCTGTTGATTCAGAAGGACAAATAATCATTCCTCAAGGATGTGGAAATGTTGAAAAGTCCTCAACTGAGCTCACTAACGTGGTCTACCCAAACATTGTCCACCACTACAAGGATCACAAGTGGCTGCGTGAACGCGCAATTCTGGCACCAAAGAAAGAAACAGTGGCTGAAATCAACATGACTCTACTCAGACAGCTTCCAGGCAGTGAGACCTCATTCAAATCTGTTGATACAGTAATCGACCAGGACCAAGGAGTCCAGTACCCTGCAGAATTCCTTATTTCTTTGGAGCTCGCTGGAATGCCTCCTCACCACCTCACTCTCAAGATTGGAACTCCTATAATGCTCTTAAGAAATCTTGAACCACCAATCCTCTGCAATGGCACTAGACTGGTGGTGAAGAACATGATGCCACATGCACTGGAAGCTACAATACTGACAGGAAAAGCTAAAGGAGAGGATGTTTTTATACCAAGGATACCTCTCATCACCACTGACCTGCCATTTGAGTTCAAGTGACTTCAGTTCCCGGTTAAAGTGAGCTTTGCCATGACCATCTACAAAAGCCAGGGACAATCCCTTAAGATGGTTGGCCTAAACCTGGTGTTTCCTTGCTTCTCTCATGGACAGTTCTATGTTGGATGCTCCAGAGTGGGAACTGGCAAAAATCTGTATATATATATATATGTATATATATACTTCATTTTTAGTCCATATAACACGCGGACTTTGAAAATATAATCAACGACCTCACCAGCCAGGAATCGAACCCTCGACCTACTGGGTGGGACTAGGAAACGCTACCGACCAACCCACAAGGACACTAGAAGCAGTCCTAGACTCTGTTATATTTCACACAAAGCCTGTTCATCGAGCTGATGGCGCCGTGAACCTCATTGGGAACTGCCCGTGCCTTGTATGTGGTGTTATTAGCATTTTACCGAATCCAGCTGGTATGAAACACGAGGTACTATATATATACTTCATTTTTAGGCCATATAAGACGGGGACTTTGAACATATAATCAACGACCTCACCAACCAGGAATCGAACCCTCGAACTACTGGGTGGGACTACGTGAGGTCGTTGATTATATGTTCAAAGTCCGCATGTTATATGGACTAAAAATGAAGTATATATATGGTACCTCGTGTTTCATACCAGCTGGATTCGGTAAAATGCTACTGACACCACATACGAGGCACGGGCAGTTCCTAATGAGGTTCACGGCGCCATCAGCTCGATGAACAGGCTTGTGTAGAATATAACTGTATATATATATATATATATATATATATATATATATATATATATATATATATATATATATATATATATATATATATATATATATATATATATATATTTCATGTAGATCCATAATGAAAACGTGATAATCTTGATACACACGAACTGAGCATTCTGTTGTTCAAGACATCTTCAGAGTCAACAAGTTGCTCTGAAGATGTCTTGAATAAAGACAAAGTTAAGGTGCTCTGTTGTTTCCTTTTCCCGTGATTTTATCATATATATATATATATATATATATATATATATATATATATATATATATATATATATATATATATATATATATATAATATATATAATATATATATATATATATATATATATATATATATATATATTTATATATATATATATATATATATATATATATATATATATTTATATATATATATATATATATATATATATATATATATATATATATATATATATATATATATATATATATATATATATATATATATATATATATATATATATATATATATATATATATATATATACATATATAGAAAGAGAGAGAGAGAGAGAATATATGCATATATTAGGGTGCATCATTTGCCCCATGATTTCAGAAATTGAACTGGTTTGTTTTGACACTATGTTAAATTTATTTCATTTATAACATAAAGTAATTTTGTAAGGTTTGGGTCAGTTTGAACGTCTCTTATGTGTCCCACTAACAGCGTAAATATAATAAAAATACAAAAAAGGGAGAACATCGACAATTTCAACATATTATTTGATATGCCCATTTACATTTTGTTCTATCATTTGTCGCTTATACGCCACAATCTTCACTGGTACAATTGCTGGAAAAAACCCCGAGGCACACTTT